ATATTAGCATCCAATGAATACATATTTAATTTTTCTCTCTTCATGACCAGAATTGTACTTTTCTTAAATAAAATGTTCTCTCGTATAAAAGTTCTAAAGTGACTGTCTCTTTCTGCTCATGCTCTACAAATTATAGATTGCTCACTCAGAAAAATCAAGGCTATTAAACCATGACTATCTTAATAGCTTTACCAATGATAAGAAACAAGTGGTCATGAATAGTATGTTCTCAATGTCATGTTTTATTTATCGATTTGGTCACTGGTACTAACTTCTCATTGAATGTATTCCCCTGCTGCCTTGGTTGTTTGGAATTACTTCATGCATTGTCGATACAAGTGTGGACAATGAGTAGAACTACCTTTAGAAGTGTTATATTTAAATTTTGAACTAAATGCTTAAGTTGGAGTAACTATGCATTGAGTACATAAGAATATGAATAATTATCTTATTTATGTAAAAAGAAAGGTTGTCTAGAGCATGAAATAGAAATATAAGATAAGAATGAATGCTTATATCGGAAGAAGCTTTCTTCTGCTTGAATGACTAATGTTTAGAACTCAAATGGATACTTTCTTTAAAACTTACGGAGTAATAAAAGTTCCTACAAATTTGAAGAAGAATAAAAATTTATTCAACATAGAACAAGTTGTGGTTGAATAAAATGAGCAGAAAAACACAACTATATGAACTAAAACAAGAAGTAAACATGATCACCGACCAACACCTTGATCAATCTCTGTCCTTAACAATCTGATATTCAAATTTCAATTCAAGGCTCAAGCTAAAAACAATTGAGCACATGCATCAATCCTCTTAACACTAAATTTATGTATGAAAATAACTTGTAGAAGAGAGGCATACTTGATTTAGAGCCCAAATTCCCCAAACAGATTAGGGCCACAAGGATGACAAGTACCGATGCCAGTCTGTGACTCCCTGTTAATCGAATAATCCAAACCCCCAGCAAAAATACTGCAACAGGAGCATACATTTCAAAATAGGAGCATGACAGTGCTATAGAAAATCTAGATGCACTTCTGAGGGCTCAGGTGACATTATTGTAACATTAGATAATAATGGTGCCAGGATGCACTTATGAGGGCTCAGGTATTTCAAATACATACCTGCAAATCGGAAATCAACACGCAGTTAGGTACTTAGGTCTCAATTCAGAAAGCAATAGAGTTGCCACGATGGCACGGGCGGAAGGCGGAGAGCGAAGCCGCATAGGACGGCAGGCAAACTCAAGGGCGGAGGGAGGAGCAGCCGGGACGCAGCCGTTGCTGGGCCGGAGGGGAAGAGCCACACACATCCCTCTTCAGATCGGCGGTTTGTGAGGAACTGAATATGCCTGCCGATCGATCTTCCGATTTGAGTTGCGAATCAGGATTGAGGTCATTTTTGAAATAAAAATATAAAAGTGAAAAGGGTAAAGTCTGAAAAATAAATGGTTAGGTGACATAAATGAAATTCAATTGAAAAGGAGGGACTGGACGGGATATTTCCACTTAATTCTAAACTTAAACCCCAATTAACGCTAAGGGTTAAGAGACCAATTAAGTAATTAACCCAATTAATTCGAACTTTCACTACCTTGGGCCCTTGGCTATAGGCTCGGACAACCAAGGCAGCCAATATGGACACTTTTTGGCACGGTTTTACTAGGAAAACTGACCGGTGAAATAACGTTTACATTTTGACTCATAATTAGTCTCGGAAATTCAAAAAGGAAATCAACATTAATATTTTTGGCTCGGATTTTGGCTCGTAATGTATTGGCTCGGATTATTCTGAGCCATATCAAATGAAATGACCTCTCAGTTTCAACTCGGATAACATTTTGCTGCAAATTGCGACGGATTTTCACTCGAAAAACCTCGTTGGCCAACATCTTTTCCCATTTTCGGTCTTGGCTAGAAATTTGCTTTAGAATTGTCAAGGCAACTTTTTTCTAGGATTTTTCCGCACCAAAGCACTCCTAGTACCGGGATTGAACTAATCCGAGCCGCAATCCGAGTCAAATTTGGTTGGGACATTTTTCGGACAAAAAATTCGCGTCTATACAGAATTTTTTCTAATGTCTTGTTTTGAGAACAAAATGTGCACCCTTTGTTTTGATATTTTTACATTGTTTTGCTCGTAGTCCTTACTCCTTACTACTTAGTACAGAATTCTTAAATTGTTTTAATAACCTATTCATTTGTTATACTAATTCCTGAAGACTATACCTTTACAATTTCCTACACATGATTTATTTGATCCTATTATTATTAAAAGAATAAGCCTTCAATTGGGAGTCCATGAGCTTTATTTTAGGAAGGAAACATTGATAGTCTATTCCTTTACTTGCCCCCCTGAAGCACACATTTACTACTTCCTATTCACTTTGCCTTTTTTTTATTCCACGGAGCTTTGTACGGAGTATGTAGTAAGATTTGCACTAACGTCCTCAATTGGCTAATTTTAGCCTCTTGGACAACTTGTGATTTTATGTTCTAAAATATCAATTCAGATTTAGGCTTCATACAAAACAAATTATTGATACTGGAAATAAGAGAACCATTCTCCAAGTGTGTTAAGGAAATGTTATAAATATAAATCAACATAAAGAAAGACTTCCAAACAAATGATACGACTATAATAATCACCCTTTAATTTAAAATTGAGGCAATGAATTAAAAAGGAAAATGGGTCAAATAGACTCCTCTACGATTACAAAACATCACTTAAACTCATGTACTATAAAAACATCATCTAAACCCATCTACCTCTATATAAAAAGAGGTGGAATTCTGGCCACTTTTCCGCCTAAAAACACGGGTAAGGAATGGGTCATAAACGGGTCAGCCAAAAGCTACTGGAATTTGATTCGGCAAACATGGGAATTGCTTGAGAGTTGAGAAGATATTAACATTTTCCTTCAGGTAAAGTGTAAGTCGTCAGAGTCGCTATGCAAACCTTCTTATCCTTTGGTTTTTTGGTTTGTATGATAAGTAAAAAAACCAGCCAGCTCTTCGTTTGCTGTGCCTATTAAAATACGGATATGGATTTGGCAGTGGAGATGGACTAATTAAAGTGATAAATGAGCTGTCGGCCTCCTAGACTCAAATCCTCTTAATTTATACTCCGTATTTGGCTTTAATTAAGCATTTTATTTTCAGTACTCCGTATTAGAATGATCTAGATTCTAGACTCTAGAGTTTGGCTAAATTATAGAGTGCAGTTAAATTTTTGAGTAAGCTTATATCAATTAGTTAAGTATGTATATATTACTCCGTATTAGCTTTTATTTGATGAGGGTTCTATTGTTTGTTATCATAAGATCTTCAATTAGCATAATTTTATTTATAATTTTAATACATTCTTCTTCTTTTCTGATTTTGGACATTGATTTTGCCAATTTCGAACTTCTATTTCATATTTTAACAAGGCCATCAGGTACTCTGCAAAACTTTTGAAGAAACCAGGTTCAAAATCAAACTTGCAAACACCAGACAATACATAGACAATAAGTAGTCAATAAACAGACAATAAGTTCTAATAATAGCTCAATAGCAGACAATACATAGACAATAAGTAGTCATTAAATAGATAATAAGTTCTACCAATAGCTCAATAGCTGAGCAGGTATCGTAAAACAATATATATATATATACAATTCACTATATCTAATCATGAAATTACATCGAGAGGTTGTCGAAAACTCCGCAATGAAGCAATATCGGTCTCTAGCCCTCTGTAAAATCGTTGAGCTTCTATTTGGATTCTGGAAATTGGAGTCTCGATGGAGCTATAATTGTTGATTCCCAAGCAGTACACTCCGATGTTGAGGTCCAACAAGAGGTAGCCGATGTGAAGTAGCTGTGGTCGCGCACCTTCAGTAATACCATGTCGATGTCAAGCTGGTTGATATGAGGGCAAAGAGGCGGAGAAATTGGGGATGTTATTACAATGAAATAGAAGGGTAAAGTTGAAAAGTCACTATAAGAATTTCCTGAAATAGTACTAAATAAATCACATGAAAACATGGAATCTTACTTTGGTAAAATGTTTATGATTTAGTCTCCGTAGAGAAATCATGAGTTTAAATGGCCGATTCATTTTGGGAGACACTCTAATGTAACCTTTTTTTCTTAATTTTCTCCTTCTCAACCTCAAACGTCCCTCTTCTTCAACATCCCCACTTCTCGCTTTTCTCTCCTTCAAGTAATTAAGCTTCTTAATCCGTACAAGTACATATAAAGAAATAAGTGTGTATAAAGTGCGTATAACATTTAATTAAGGATTCCGTTTTTTAGACATTGCATTACGATTGCCAATTTTTATTCGTATAAAACATATACTCAGTACTATAATTAATTAAACCGCCCTCCAAATATATTAAGAAAAATATATTACACAAAATTTGTACACATTTTTGGTACATTTGTACGTAATTGTTTGTGCAAATAGACAATGATCGTGTTTGGCAACCCTGTTTTTCGGCTTATCAGACTTATCAGTCAACTTTTTCACCAAACACATAATTTTTTATTTCGTGCGCTGAATTGTGTAATAAGCAGAAAAAGTAAGGTTGAAGTTACTTTTTTGGTTGCATTGGCTGAAGTTACTGTAGATGACCATTTTAGCTATTTTTACATATAATTTTTGCTTTATTTTATTAATAAAATATATTTAAAATAATTTTTTCTTTAATCATCATAATCAGTCACTGCACCCCTTCTTACATGTGTATAAAGGTAACTCGGAAATAAGAGTTGTGCTCGGTACACATTTTGATGTACACTTTTCGTACACTCGTCTCTCTCATGCACACAAAGTTGTTTGTACACAAATAATTATGTAGAATTGTCCCTGAACAAATAATTCAGTTTACATAAGAGAGACAAATGTATGAAAAGTGTACACTGAAAAGTGTACAGCAAACAGTTTTTCCGAAATACGAGTAATCATGTACAAATGTACTTGAAACTGGTACAAATTTTGTCTACAAATTATTGGTATGTTAAACCCAAAAACGTGGAGTCAGGTCTCTGGACGCTGAAAAGCACAAATTTACCGAAGCATCCCTTCGGTGAAACTCCCACCCTTCTGCACCATGATGTTGAAATCCATCAGCTCCGTCGCAGCAACGACCATGTTGGGTTTCGGTCTCTTCACTCTCTTCTTTGCCGGATTTCTTGATTTCCCACCAGCTTCTTCTTCGATCCCTTCACCCAAAGCTTCAACCATTGTATCCCTATCAAATTCCCCACCCGACCCGTTTGAGGACCTTTTAGGAGCTTTCAAGAAATGGGATTCTCAAGTAGGATGTGCCCGGTTCAGGGAGAAGCACAGATTAGTGTTGATGAGAAATGGGTCTTCTTCTTTGGTTTCTTCTGGTTCTCTGCAAGATGTAGACGAGGGTGAATTGGAATGTGGAGAGTTGAGGATGAAGCATGTGAGTGTTCTGGTGAAGGGGTGGACTTGGATTCCTGATGATATGGATAATCTCTACTCTTGTAGATGTGGTCTTAGCTGCTTGTGGACTAAATTGTCAATTATGGCTGATCATCCTGATGCTTTGTTGTTTGAGACTATTACTCCTCCTCTCCAGGTAGCTACATAAAAATATTATCTTTTTTCACTTAATTTCTTGATCTTTGATCTGGGTTTATTGATTTTAGGGTTGCAGTGTGAATTTGTTTTTAGTTAATGCTAATTAGCATTTTCTTTTGATCATTGAATGTTGCCATGGAAATACTTTGTTTTGCTTCAATATGAAGTTCAGGTCTACCCTGTATTCTAAGAAGCTCTAGGCAGGGCTTCTTAATCTAGTATTTGTTATGTTACCATAATCTACTTATTCTGCTTATGAGTAAGTTTCATAGAAGTAAAACAGTAAGAAGTTAATCAAATGTGGAGGGAATTAGGTGACAGGACTTCATAATTAGGTGATTAACTGAACAAATCTTGATATAGTGATACAAAGTTAGTCTTTTCAGCTAACAGATACTACGTATATGTGATTTTAGTGAACTCCAATCTTGAATGTGAGAGGAAGGTAGTGTGGAGGAAAAACAAATACAGGCAGCTATCTAGAAATGAAATAAATGACTTTTTTCCTAATTCATAATCGAGTTTGAGCTTACATGATAAGAAAAATTACACAATGTTGCGGTCACTTACTATTTATTACTACGTACTACATACTCCGTGTTATTTATGTTTTGTTTTGCATTTTTTAATTAATTTTTCATATAGGTAATAGGCTGTATAATGAATAAAAAATGAGGCATACTTCTATTAATCATTTTATGTTGAGAATTGCCAAAAAAAAGTTGAATGCCTTGTTTTTATTATTTTATTTGTAGTCCTTAAAGAAACAGAATACAGAATGTAGGAAAACTTCATCGAATAAATTTCAAAGCTCTACCAAGTGAAGCTTAAAAATTAAGTTCATCAACATAATAAAGCTTATTAGAAAATATTCATTTAACAAAAGCAACGAATAAGTAACTTATAAGTTAGCATATGGCGTGCCAAACATGGCCTTACTAGATACTTTTGTTTCTAGAGATGCCAAACAATTCTGTTTTTTTTTGTAGTTCGATTTCGCCCTGTAGTAGACATTCTCACCTTCCTTATATTGGATGTCTTTGATCAGAGACGGAAAGGTGAGCCGTTACGTGTGTACATGGATCTTGAACCTGGGAGGAAGAGATCAGGATACGAGGATGTTTTTATTAGCTATCACGCCAAAGATGATGTCCAATCCACGTATGCTGGGTCGCTCTTTCATAAGAGTAGAAATTATCATCTCTCTCGTTCTAAGAGAAATGTAAGCATACAGTCACTCTATACCTGGCTGTCTGGCATTTACTTTATTTCTTTTTCATGTTTATTATTCCTTCATAAGAAGATACTAACATTAAGGGCATCTGGCTTTTTTTTTGAATTAAACTGTTTTTTGGAAATTAGTTGACTCTAATTTTGGTGTAAAATGAATTTTTTATTACCGTTACTATATGAGCTTGGTGAAACTAGTTCTTTAAGCCTTTATATTGTTGACAATGTAGATCTGTTACTTTTGAAATGTCGAGAACTTAGTACCAATACCACCTAGAATTGCAAATTTTGAAATGAAAATAGTCCTCAAATACAGGAGCCAGTCAGCCAGGGACCTGGGAGTTTCCTTCAAAATCTTAAACTTACGAAAAATGTACACGATATTTTTTTAGAATAAAACAATTAGTCGATTAAAGGCATTTTAAAATTTTAGTAAAGATGTAATGTCACCACATATTCGATCGATCCCGAATTTGAATTATGGTTTTTGGCAGATTTTCAATTTCCGGTAACTTTAGGACTAAACTCTAAAAATAAGAATTAATTGTTTAATTCCTCTTTTGATCCTACAGTGTCGTGTCATTCATACTTTATGGGTCTTCAACTATCATTTTATTGGTTCTTCAGGTCTTTTTCACTAGAAAAGTGGCTAAAGGACCATAACTGGCCAAAATCTGTTTTTATGGGACCAAACGGTATATTGATTCCAAAATAATAGTTGGAGAAGACTAATTTTTCCAACTCCTATAGTTGTGGACTTGTTAGACCAATGGTATTGATTTGTGCTTTTCATAAACTTTGTAGGACACTCTCGTGTATTGGTCCTCATCCCGGTGTCTTCCTGAGAGAAACAAACTCGCCAGACGCTTCCTTAGCCTACTCCCACACCACTCATTCGGAAAGTGCCTCAACAACGTCGGCGGCCTTGACAAAGCCCTCTCATTTTACCCCGAATGCGTCAAGGACCCAAACGAGGCCCCCAAGTGGTGGGACCACCTCCACTGCGCGATGTCAAATTACAAGTTTGTCCTCGCAATTGAGAACACATTCACAGAGAGTTATGTGACAGAGAAGCTATTCTACGCGCTCGAGTCAGGGTCCGTCCCAATTTACTTTGGCGCCCCAAATGTGTGGGACCTAGTGCCCCCACATTCGATCATTGATGGGACAAAGTTCGAGTCTTTGGAGGGACTAGCGTCTTACATTAGGGCACTTGCAGATGATCCAGTGGCCTATGCAGAATACCATGCATGGAGGAGGTGTGGAGTGTTGGGCAACTACAGGAAAACGAGGGCAGCCAGTTTGGATACTTTGCCTTGTAGGCTTTGTGAAGCTGTGAGCAAGAAAAATGGAAGAAATTATGAATAGTGATGTTCATATAAAGCATTGAGTTGCTGAGATGGCTAGATAAGATTATTATTAATATTTTTGTTGGGGAGGTAATTGCTTTGTTAACATAGTAATTTATTTTCTTTGTGAAGAAATTGAAAAAATTAATTGATATAGACAGGTAGGCACTTGGCAGTCTGCATTTAAACTTTCGCTTCTTTTTTCCATGTTTTGCTTCGTAGTTTATATCTGTACCAAAAATAACATTCTCAATTTGGCTTTTGAAGTTAACTTAATTTTTTATTGTTAAAGACTTATACTGAGATACTGATAATGTACAGGCAAATGTTTGATCAAATACTTCAAATTCCATCACAAATTCACAAGCCCTAGGTTTGGACATGAAGTCTTTCACTTATGAAAATGTAATTACACACTAACTGACTAACCATGAGACGGACACCATAAGCCAATAATGACCAAATTTTTGACATTTAATGTTCTTGTCTCTCAAGCTTCCTCCAATCCAAGCTTCCTCACTTCATGTGGTCCGAAGCCATCAATACTCCTTGCTTCACACAAAATTGCACCTCCATTCACAGACGCTAAGAACTCTCATGGCCAATTTTTGTAAGATGGGAGTTGTGCTCCCATACAAGCACCACCATTCAGCTGTATATATGAAATAAAATCAGAATTTATTCATTAATATAATTGCAACATTAATCTGGCAGATTGTTAGAATGTATTTAAAAACCTGCATGTTATTTTCATAAAAAAACATTAAAAAAACTGCATGTTACCTGGTGACTTGGTCTTTCTTGTCAAAACTGCCAAGTTGATGCCAAACAAACCCTCAGCCCTTATGTACTTTGACAACTCATCAATAATAACAAGTTGTTCTCCATCCTCGGGAACCAGTTTAGCTATGCAAGCATAGAGTCCAGTCGTGATCTCACTATTGAATTCAATTCGCGGATCGGCATAAAAAAGGCGGGGTTGAGGTAATGGCCAGCTGCTTGCAGTGGATGGTGAAGTTGATCTTGCCATCTAGAATCAATGATTTTGAATGTTTCTTTATAGTTATCATTTCTTCCATTAAAAGCTTTTATTATGGCTTCTTTGGCTCTATCCATAGCCTCATAGATGTATCTCATAGCTGGTTTTCTTTTGTTGTCCACAAGTCGAAGAGTTCTCATAAGAGGGCCCATAAGTTTGAGTATGCAATAGGCATTGTCACAAAATGTAGGCTTCAACATACAGTCTTTGACTTGTTTTCCACCCGCCTCTTCTGCCCGCTTGCTGGAATTCCAATCCCTCTTGGAGAACAAAGCCCGAAGATTAGTCTTTTGGTTGTAGATGCTCTTTAAAGTGAGGTAGCAAGTACACTACATAATCTTGTTTTCCTAGGTCTGATTAGATTTCTTTGCCCTGTGTACCTCCTCATTAAGTTCAACAATCCCACACGGTTATAAATAAAACTAGTTAAACTCATTGCTCGTCTTAAGGTTTTCGAAACTAAAGGCAACTTCCAAATGTCTTCGAGCATGAGATCAATGCAGTGCGCCCCACATGTTGTGCAATATATGTTTAGTCTCTTAGTTTCTAACAACTTACCACTCAACTTAAAATTAGGACCATTATTGGTGCACATTAAACAAGAAATTCCAAAAACAACTTAAGAAAAATGCCACTATAACACCAACTATTATTGATTGATGCCTTAAAAATATATGGTGAAAATATATATTACTTTAGAAGCCAATTTATGTAACAAATACTCCCTCCATCCCTTAAAACTTTGTCAAGTTTGACCGGCACGAGGATTAATAAAGTAAAAACTGTGTGGTTGAGGTTTGTGCAGAGGAGAGACAATTATTTGAAACCACAAACTCTTTACTTAAAAGGGAAAGTGACAAAGTTAGTGTAACATCGAAAAAGGAAAGTTGACAATGTTTTAAGGGACGAAAGTAGTATATGATGTAAATAGTAAATGTCATAAATTTTACGGAGTAGTAATGATGCATATATATGCCAATAAAATTCATTTTATATCATTAATTGAGCAATAAAAGGTCTTTCTCTAACCATTATTGGCTAATAAATATGTTGGAATTGAATTATACGTTTCAATTGACTAGTAAACACAATTAAAAAAAATTAATTTCCTTTTTATCGCTTGAGTATGTGAACCAATCCCGCTTCTTCACTGTCCCATTCACATTAACAATATAGTGTATTTCTAAAGTCTCTACTTACCCTTCACATTTTACAGTTTTCACAACTAATTCCAAGATCATATTACCATAAAGTCAAAAGCTAATGGTACACAAATAGATTTCATGTGAACTTTAAAAACAAACATTACCAGGAGGCTAATGAAGCAAAGTTACGTTTATCATATTACTCCTCTTTCATCAATTGTTTCAATTTGATTTCTTTGTTTAGGAAAAAAAATGATTCCTAATGTAAAGATAATCTTTCTTGCTTTATAGAAAATACGAAAGTGAGCCATACTTCTAGCTTGAACAAACAAAACCGTACCATACACATAAACTTTTCTTTTTGTACGAGATTCAGACCCGGTATACTACTTGACTACTTGTGTGTTCGGATCAACTTTAAACTCTATTAAATTCAATTGAATAAATACAATTTCATCCCTAATTTCATCCCTAAAAACTAAAAGAACGATATACTAAAATAAAATAAAAAGGAATGTAAGATTTATTTAAATTAGTAGACTGCAGTTGGACTTAAATTGATTGCGAGTGATTTAACAGTTTCACTTTTCAAACAGTTTTGTCATCAAATACATTCATAATATTGCATATAACAATAATAATAAAAGGAACCTTTCAAAAAAAAGAAGGAAAGGAGTATAAGAATATCATGCATATTTCTCAATAAAAGGAAAAGGAAGAGAGTTCACGTTTGTAGAGGGACTGATTATTGATAGCAATGGAGAATAGATTGCTTGTTAGGAAAAATCAATTAGAATATCTAGCAGGTAATATAAGAATAAGGGGGTGTTTGGATCTGATTCTTAAAACTGCTTCTTCAGGGAGTAGAATCAGAATCTGGAGTGTTTAGGTGAAAGTGCAAAAGTGATTCTGGTGCTCTAATTTACTCATAGAATCAGTTTTTTTAGAAGCTGAGGATGATCAGCTTGTGAAAACTGATTCTGATTTTACTTCTGCTTTAAAATAGAAGCAGAAGTAGAATCAGTTCCAAACACACTTAAAATGTCTATCAAAAGAATGATGACACGTGCTTTAAGAGCACAATAATTAAATTAATACTAGTATATTGGACTGACTAATCTTGGTGTATACAAGATGTACACAAAAAGTGTACATTGTCTGTGTACACAGACAATTTGACATCAACTCCTGCCCCCTGTTTTAACGAATTACCTGTGTACACAGACAATTAGGGGGGTTTTGTGTACAACTTATGTACAACTAATACAACTAATGTACACTAAGCATTTTCCACTAATACTATGCACTACGAGCACGTATGTGTTTTCCAAGAATGACACGTATACACTAGACACACTAGCATTAAGTAATGGTTGTGTAATTTAAAGTAATTTTATACCTAAATATTCAGTAGAAAATAGAAATTACTACCTCCGTCCCACTAAGTTTGCGACAAGAGAAGGTGACACGGTTATTAATAAAAATGAGTTTATGTGGTTGATATTGAATTGATAAAGTAAGAATAAAGTGAGAATGATTTAGAACCACACAAACTTTACCAAATAAGGTATCAAACGATCTTAATGAGACGGACCGAAAAGGTAAAATGAGACAATTATAGCGAGGCGTTAATGATTAGATTGACGTGGGAGTATTTTACTATATGATACAAAAACAAGAATCATAATAATTAGATTGACGTTAATGATTTATTTTTCTATCACTATCGACTTATAATCCATAATAATAATGATTCAATATACAGGCAGTCAGGCATGCAGCCACAAATTTACTAAGCTTCTTAACGCAAACTCATCACATTCGGATGAAACCTATTTCTTGAGAAAACTTCCTGAAATCGTTGTTCAAATACGAACATAGTTCTACCCATCCTTCATTATCTCTAGCTTGTTTATTCAAAAGGAGGATTGAGTGAGTCTCCATATCTCATGATGAAGCTTCTCATCTAATTTCAAGCGGTTATTCTTCACTATGCGCACAAATGCCACTTTCCGGCGACATCTCCGGCAACCAGACCTTGGCAACCTAAACGGGAAATGATTTGAGGGTCATCTTTCCAAGGCTCACTTCTCTTTATTTTTCTTATAATTATCCAAGCCTGTTTTAATTTCAACAACGCTGTTTTAATTTCAACAACACTATTCATCATCTTCTCCAATGAGATATATACATACCGACGATTTACTGCACATCCAAACTCATAACCCGGTATTCTAAACATATGAATGAATAGACAAAAATCAATTTGTCGTTTCTTGAGCAAATTTGACTGCAATTCAATTACTACTCCTGTCAAATTTTAGAAAAGAAATGCTACGGCCCAGGTTATTGAATTTGAAGAAAACAAGCGTACAAGAGAATTTTGCACCAAATCAGTGATGCTACGGTATATGGAGTATGTTTGCATCAGGGTAAATTAGTCTTATAAAATAAGTTGGTTATTAAAATTTATTTGAGTGGCTATGTATAGTAATTTTATGACTGTATATATAGAATCCCCTCAGACAAAATATGATGGAGCTGCAGTCCTAAAATTTTGTAAATTATGATCATAGTCATAACATCCAGACGACTATTATCCTCTAGAAGAGTGATTCTAATATTAGTTCGGAAGATAGTACCCTGAAGGTCTTAATTGGTCCTTATGAGGTCGAGCAATTTATTGATCCGGAAGATTAAATGTAACGGTACTCTTTTCCCTTAACCAAGTTTTGTCCCACTGAATTTTCTTGGTCAAAGGTTATAACCAGGCAGCTTGTGATTCTCAAACAACATATTATGATACATAATAATTGGAGCCCACCAAATTAGGAGTATTATTCTTTTTTCTTCTCTAGAAGAGTGAATTCAAATATAATCTAGAAGATTAGGCCCTGAAGGCCAATGACTGTACTCTTTTCTTTAATTAAGTTTTTCCCACACGGTTTTCTTAGTTAAAGATTTTTAATGAGGCAGTCAATACAATACATTGTTTCACATATATTGTGTACTTTTTCCTTGATTGATTTTTTCTCAAAGGATTTTTCCAACAAGGTTTTTTAATGAGGCATACACTTAGTACAAATTTGCTACAAGGAGTTGCC